AATAAATGTAGCAAAAAATACCCCAGACAATTTTTGAGAGATACACACGTTACACAGACAGGTGACGATGGTACCCATAGTACAGAAGGTGATCTCCGGCTGACGGTGGCTTTACACTTAAATTAAAAGACATTGAACTAGACAATAGGTGGGTTGTCCTCTATAATAAGGTTCTGTTACGGACCTTTAAGGCACATATTAATGTAGAATTTTGCAATTCTGTTGAATCGATAAAGTACATTTGTAAGTACATTAACAAGTGCATTGATCAGGCGGCTTTCGTGCTACAAAACAAAAAGGACGAAGTTAAATTCAGAAAACAAACATTGGGATTCTGCCCTAGAGGAAGCAGCCTTAAGCGAGTCGCCATTCAAAATGCGTGAACTTTTTTTTCTATAATGCTGGCTTTCTGTCAGATTACAGACGCACTAAATCTTTGGGTAAAATACAGGGATAGCCTATCAGAAGACTACAAATACATTATAGATGAACATCTAGCAGATGAAATCTACAATAAATGTCTGGTCACAATAGGAGAAGCTGTATTAGCATTAGGCGAACAAAGCCTACACCAGTACGGGTTGTCTCAGCCACAAAAGGTCTGAAGACTTACACTATAACCGGGACTACCTAAAGGAAACAAGTTACGATATCAATTCCTTAGCAGAACTGGTGTCAAGTAGTGAAGGCTCTCTAACCAATGAACAAAGACATATCCAGTATCGACGCAGGTGTAGGTGATATTTTTTTTGGATGGTCCTGGTGGAACAGGCAAGACTTTTCTATTAAATTTACTGTTGGCCTAAGTGAGAAGCAATCGAGATATCGCCTTAGCGGTCGCATTGTCCGGAATTGCTGCCACTCTGCTGGAAGGAGGTAAAACTGCACACTCCGCGTTTTAACTTCCTCTCGATTTGATACAAACGAAACCCCACTCTGCAATATACCCAAACAAAGTAATATGGCAGAAGTACTACGCAAAACGAAATTAATTGTTTGGGATGTGAGTATAGTATAGCTCATAAAGAGGGTTTCGAAGCCTTTATGAGCTATACTTTTAATATTATTCCTATAATAGCTGTACCCTGCGACTTCGCTCGCGTATTAGGGTTTTTATGTTTCTGTGCGGAACCCTAATCCGTTTTCTAAAATTAAAGTAGCCTAAGTTACGCCTTATGAAATCAGCTATCTGCCAGTGAAAATTCCGTCAAAATCGGAGATTAGCCGGAACAAACAGACAGACAGACAAACATTTTAAATATTGTATTTTAGTTATAAGTACCGTATTTACTTTCATATGCATTTAGTAAAAAACTATAATTTTGACATTACAAACAGACACTTCAATTTTATTTATATGTATAGATATCTTTACAAGATATTAGGAATAATATTTGTCAAATGGGAGGATTTACTGTATTGTTAGCAGGCGATTTCCGGCAGACTTTACCAGTAGTGCCCAGAGGAACGAGCGGACGAAGATAAAGCGTGCTTGAAGCGGTCTCATTTGTGACCTTCAGTGACAAAATTGAGCCCTACCAAAAATATGAGAGTCCACCTTAAGGGAGATGTTACTGCCGGACAGTTCTCAGACCTGTTGCTTAAAACAGAATGGTGATTTCCCGGAACTGGATAATAATATAATTCTCCCTACAGAGTTAGGTACAATTATTTCCACTGTAGAAGAGCTTATGGCTAAAATTTACCCAAACATTAATAATATTCACGATAGACCTGCAGAATGGTTATGCAATCGTGCCATCCTAACACAAAAAAACGAACAAACCTCAGTCATAAATGAAATACTTATGAGATCATTCGAAGGGGTCGAATATCAATATATATCCATCGACTGATCGGTCGAGTTCCTGAATATACTGAAGCCTCTCGGTCTCCCAACTCACATATTAATAATTGAGAGTTCTTGCGCCAGTTATGTTGCTGCGCAATATATATATCCACCCAAATTATGCAATTGCACCAGATTGCAAGTGAAAATCTTGCATCGCAATGTAATCGAGGCAACTATACTGACAGGTTGTTCTCGAGGAGTATGTATTTATTCCTAGGATTCCCCTAACACCATCAAATTACCCCTTCGAATTCAAGAGTGCAGTTTCCTATCAGTCTGCTTCGTCGTAACTACGAGTATAAACAAAGCTCAAGGTCAAACTCTTAAGGTAGTGGGAGTAGACTTGAGAGAAAGCTGCTTCTCCCACAGCAGTTGTATGTGGCATGCTCCAGAGTAAGCGCACAGAATAGCCTGGTGATTCTAGCACCCGAAGGAAAAACATACAAATATTGTTTACAAAGAAATACTGCGGTAGTTGTAGCATTTCGATTTCGTTGTAAAAAGATAATATCCCCGTGTCACTTTCACCAGATAAAAGGCCGAGCTTCGTGTTCATAAAATGTAACAAAATTTTATTTTATTTTCATGTTTATTTAACCTTTAAATTCCTACACTATAACAAAGATATTTATATTTTATAAGTATTCAAACATTTTAACATAATAATTTGTATAACAAAATTAATAACGTAAAACACCAATTAAAAATCCTATTAGAACCATTTTCTTCTACGCGAAGTCGCGGGCTTAAGCTAGTAATATATAGTATATATTATAATATAGTATAATAGTGTTTGCGTTGCAATACGACACGCATTGCAACGCAAACACAGTAGCATTGAAACTTTTACTTTTTTTAACACCAAGATTAGAAGTGTAAAATTACATAAAATGTTTTCGCAATTTTCAAATATATAGATCATCGATGACAATGTTATTATTAAGGGTGGAAATTAAAAGAAAATAGTTACAAAAATATCTATTTTGAGATTTTTCAAAAAGTTTTGTTGAAATCACAGAATACTTTACTCCTAGCGGAGGTTGAAATCCTTACTACGCCACTGACTAAAATGACAAAATTAGGTGTAAGAAGCTAGAAAGATAATTTGTGAAATTTTGAGTCACCTATAAAATACGGAATGGATAATTCAAATACTCAGAAATATCTGAGTAATATTAGTAGTGGCTTGTTGTATTTAAGTATATACTTTTAAAGGAAAAATAAAACAATATGTACTTACTCTTCTTAACAAATATTTTATTTTTGTCAGTAATTGCACATAGTTATATAATATATGTATAAAATAACGAAACTGCTAGCAATATAAACAAAATACAGTCCAAAAATATATTAATTAACATCGGATTGCTATTTTGCACAATTATGTGCAGATATAAAATCATTTGAAAAATATGTAAATTTGTATACAAAATGTTATCTGACAAATAATTTAAATTTCTCGCAATTAAATTAGGTATTTACTTCATTGTTAAAGCTAAATTATTATAATAATATTAACTTGTACTCTATTGTTTTTATTATAAAAACAAAGTATTATGAATAAAATATCAAAAGAGGAAATCAAAATGTAACAATTAAAAACAAATAAATGCACATGACAATGGCTTTTCAATAGCATTACGTATATTTGTTCACATATACTTTCTCATTGAGGTATAATGTGATATTCCTATGAAAGATCGTTTAAAAATCCATATTTCAGGAATTGACGAAAATATGTACTTATAGAGGGGTTTGCATATGCAATATGAGCAATTATAATTATGAAATAAAAATATCTCTTCAAATAACACAATAAAATTAAATGAATACAAACTGTCCCGTATGAAGGACATTTACTATTTATGTACGTCAATTAAGTTGTATTAGCCGTATAGCGACATCCTCAATTTTTGGTAAGACTTCCGAAACGGTCAATTGCGATTATAATGACGGCTGTACACGCTCGTCTCGTCGCCTCGCGTGCCTCTCGCCGCGTAGAGGTTCGACACGAGAACACACCATGTACACACTCGTTGTATCACTTGAACTCCGGATGCCCACTGTAATGAACCTAGAAGAAACTGTTGCTGCGTTTTGTCTTTGCTATTTTTTATTATGATTTTTACACATTCACAATAAAAAGAAAATTAATAAGCTATAGCGAAGAAAAAGGTGGTGGATGGTTTCCATTCACCATAACATAACCGTAACATAACCATATAAATATCTATATTTTATTAAACAATATCGAACCATTTTTTGATAAATCAGAATTACCAAAAAACGAACGAGTGTTTACAGGCGCGCTCTCGTTACCACCGCGAGACTCTCGAGACCGTTTGACTCGAGCGCAAAAACGAACGAGCGCCGCCACACGCCACGCGACACGCGACTCGGCCTGATTCGTGCTGTCTCCACGAGCGTGTACAGTCGCGGTAAATATCTATCTACTTGAATGACACTCATCGATGCCATCAATCATCACAATGACTTTATGCAATTATAAAAAATATTTTGAATATTAGATACAATAGAAATGTCCAATGACGTAAACGTTGACAATCTCAATAGACAGTTTCATGACCATAAAAAGGTAATCGTAAATCTAGTGGCATCACATACAGCAAGACAGCCGTCATGATATTAACATAATTGTAGCACAATTTCATTAGATTAGTCTTATATGGAGATTCATCAATGACATTTTTTCCAATTTTTCTTAGTTTAAATAAAATATTGACTATTTAAAAACGACTGAAAACCTCTTACGAAACATAAAACATTTTCATAAATGAGAAATATATTAATAAAACATTTAAGCAGCTATTATATTATATAAAATAAACGGCTTTATGATTTGCATTACTTTTGTACTAATAATAGGTAGGTAACTAAATTATATAACATCAATTTGAATAATTTCAAATAATCCATTGACTACTCATAAAACGCGTTATTATTGTTAATGTAAGATATGCTACAGTCTTAAAATTTCGCTCCTTCGAGCTAGATATGTACTACCAAAGTAATATAATATAATAATAATAAACTGCTGCACTGGTTTAATATAGCTTCTTATGATGAACCATTACAAATACTACTGGCGTCCATAGGTTTAATATTTTGATAAAAACTAAAATTTGTTCTATCTTGACGTTCTAGGCACCGGCTTTGGAACTTTGCGCATAACGTCTTCTCGCTGGTATTCGAGGTTACATGGCTTAAGAAGTTCTTGACCTCCTTGATGAATCCACTTATTTGACACTGCAACAATACGAAAAAGTAGGATATTTTCATTAATTACCACACAATTTTCTGTATGAAAGTAAAGAAAAGAAATGTACCGAAAAGTATAAACCAAAAATGAATTTTGCCTTTAACAAGAAAATAGCCACATGAAATTGATACGTAGTTTTTGACAAAACGCCATGTTATAACTCTAATCTGAAAATATTTGGACAACTTTTTTCAAAATATGAAAGGAAAAGGGCAGATTTTGTACCGCATACTTTTTTTGTTGTTTTGTTATAGAATTTGTACCACATATTAAGACAACTAAGCCAATTATTTTTATGTTAGTGTTCTATTTTTAGAACTCCGGATTAATTAATAACATCAATAAAAAGATTTTAATAAATAAGCGTAATATAAGCATAAACTAAACGCATTTATGTTTTTAGAAGTTGCCATATGTAAAATAACACAAATATCGAAATGATAATTATTTATTTAGAAATAGAAATAACTCTATATATAATTAAACCCTTATATGTTATACCTAAGAATGCATAATTGTTGCATAAAATCATAATGGTTTACGATTTAATGATAGGAATGATGTTCGTCATCAATATTTTTTTGTTCATATGGCAATTATTTATTGACAGGTAAAGATTATCTGTCTTTCAGTTCAGTTCAGTTTTCAGTTCTTTGTTGTTGTTTTGGATTGTGATTTGTGACTGCATCTGAGCAATTTAGCGAATTATCTGGCCGTTTTTACGTTGAGTTGAGCATCTGCTCCTCCGTTCTTTATCTCTTGATAGTAGTTTCGCGAAAGGACGTGGACCATATAGTGCCATTACAAATGATGCGACCATAATGAATGACTTATTAAACGAAACAGAATTCAATGATTTTTATAGAGGTAAATGATGTTTAATTCTAGATAGAGGTTTTCGTGACTGCATGAATAGTCTGCATGACAAAAGGATACATAGGTCATATGCCTGAAACTAAAGAAGACTGCCATTCACAGCTATCCACTCTTGAAGCCAACAAATCACGCTGTGTAACTATAAACAGGTGGGTAGTAGAAGCTGTGAATGGCCGTTTTAAGAGAGACTTCAAATTATTCCGCCATTAATATTTAACCGTGGTTGTCTCAATCTTATGGCAGGTAGTATTTTACAAGACGGCACTAAACATAAGTTTAAATTTTTTACTTTATTTATCTGCTAAGTTTGAGCACCTGTGGTGAAAAAAATGTATGGGATTTGTGTGGCCAACCATTTAAAAAGTGTGCCTACATTATGATGGTTCTAAAACATTAGCATATTATGTACTTAATATCGTTACTTACTGAGCTATAGCCGTTAATGTGTAAGAGTAGGCATTTCATTACAAAATTACAAAATTATTGGCAGATAGTTTTTTTAACATTGCATGTCTTTATTAGGTAAAAGTACATCTGTCGCCCTTGAAAATTTTACTTTACTACATGCTCGCCTTGTTTGGATGAATTCTAAGCTGTGTGAGCGAGACAAACGGTGCTTAGGATTAATGTGAGTAAAAAGGATCGACTGAATCTCCATTGTATGAATTCGTGTTTGGAATTCATGTTTAATTATTGTTAAATATGGTTAGTGTGTATACTCTTGGCTACAAAATACTATTTCGCATTCTACTGGACTCTTGACTTGTGCATTTTGATTAGATTTTGTTTGTTTCATTTTGATTGGACAACTCGGCATTCTACTGGACTCATGATATGTGCATAACAACAGGACTGTGTCATGTCACGAGAAATGTACACACCCCAAGAGTATGCTATCATGCATTTTATCTATGATGAATGTAGCGTGAAAGAGATCTAATAAAGAATGCACTGCATTTATTCAGAGGGGAGAATGCCTGGTGCTGGTATTGGTGGTGTCAGTAGCAGAGGACGATATCTGATATTGACATTGAAGAAATTGTCCACGATATGGTTGAAAAAGATCCGTCTATTTCAATGCGAGATATCGAACGACGCACTGGAGTATCGCATTCTACAGCACATCGGATTCCCAAACAATGGAGACTTCACCCTTATTACGTTACACGTGTGCAAACGCTTCAACAACGTGACTACCCAGCACGAGTTACTTTTTGTAGAGAAATGCTGAGGCGAATGGATGAAGATCCTGGGTTTTATAGAAAAATTTTGTGGAGCGACAAGTCAACGTGTAAAAGAGACGGATACCTTAACTTGCATAATCTGCACAGTTGGCAGCGAGCAAACCCATATTCGATGGAAGGAGATAGCTCGCAATACCAGTTTAAAATAATTTATTGGACAGGAACTCTAAACGGAAGAATCATAGGCCCCTATGAAATGCCGGGTAACCTGAATGGGGACAATTATTTAGAATTTCTTCAAAATGAGCTGCCACATTTATAAAAAGATGAGCCACTAGCCATCCGGCAAAGTGGCTCCCAAATGATGGCTGTCCGGCACATTACGCCGTCCAAGTAAGGGGTTACTTAAACGAAGCCTATCGTGACCGATGGATCGGCCGAATGGGGCCGTTATTGTGGCTACCAAGATCACCTGATCTTAACCCATTAGATTTTTATATGGGGGCTGCCGGAAGGAACAATTTTATAAAAAAAACCAATTGAAACAATCAACGAACTTAGACTTCGCGTCACAGAAGCATCAAGGGTTATTTCAACTAAAAATTATCAGAGACTTTTAGAAAGATCGTTTGTAAAAAGATGTAGAGCCTGCATAATGGCCGGAGGAGGCCAGTTCGAGCATTTTCTGTAAATGATTTTAAATAAAAAAAGGATATAACTCATGTTCTTTTCATTAATTTACGCATTCTTAACAAATGGAAAACAGTACGAACCTATTTTCACAGCTGTACATAATAGAACATGTCAAGTTTCACTGTTTGTCTCGCTCACACAGCTTAGAATTCGTCCAAACAATGCAAGCAGGTAGTAAAATAAAATTTTCAAGGGCTACAAATGTACTTTTACCTAATAAAGACATGCAATGTTAAAAAAAACTATATGCCAATAATTTTGTAATTTTATAATGAAATGCCTACCTTTATACATTAACGGCTATAGCTCAGTAAGTAATGATATTAAGTACATAGTATGCTAATGTTTTAGAATCCTCATGATGTAGGCAAACTTTCTAAATGGTTGGCCACACAGATCCCGTAAGAGTTTTTTTCACCACAGGTGCTCAAACTTAGCTGATAAATAAAGTAAAAAATTTAAACTTATGTTTAGTGCCGTCTTGTAAAATACTACCCATATTAATTGAAAACTTTTAAGGGTAATTTAGGAACATCATTATTAGGGAACACATTAAAAGAAAAAAATCCGATCTAGGCATTAAACTGTGGACGTGATGACCACAAATGTGAGCCGAAGTACAAATTTTCGGAATTTTATAAAACATAGCGTAGAGCGCGAACCGTTCGGGATAGAATTTTTTTAGGGAACCGAGGGCATCTCCCACCTGCCCGAATACGTACGTACCAGATTATCCATTATTTCTGGGACAGCCTGTATATATATATATATATATCCACTACATGATAGTTTACGGTACTCCAACACGGTACGGTGTGTACCTTGAACTATTAATTATTTTGTGCAGGAACGCAACAGTGGATGTATTGCTGCTTAGCGACAGAAATAGTTAAGGGATCGTTCCTGTGTGGCAGAAAGCAATATGCAGCTCACCCCACTTGGAGCCGCGCAGCACGGGGCAGGCGGCGTGGCGCGTGGCGAGGTCGCCCTCGCCCGACGGGTGCAGGTTCATCCAGAACACGGCCGCGTTCTTCACCGGGAACACGCTCAGCCCCAGCTCCGTGAACACTGTCGCACCGCCCTGCGCCACCTCTGACATCTACAACAACACAATTACATACTAATACGTACAATATATACACAATATGTGTGTATGTGTATATTTATGACTTTTATGCTATACAACATGTAACAAAAACCGCGTGTTCCCTTTGTTGTTGTTCCCGTTAATTGCTTTATCAAAATCAGTATTCAAACAAAAAAACTTTACGTCATATATTTTTTTTATTTGCAAATTATATGTGGTTTCATTACCTCTTACTGACCGATACGCGCATCGGTTAAGCGGGCTCTTTGACAATCCCCGGCCAATGCAGAGATTAATTCAAATTTAAAATCGAGTTTTCTGAAGTTATTGCTATACGTTTGAATACTGATTCTGATAACGCACTTCACAGGAACCACAAGGTTTTTGTTGCATGTTGTATACTTAAGACACACTGAGTGAATTGTTGATACGTTTATCAAATGACTTCAAAGAAGGAGGAGATTTTCAATTCGTCGGAATCTTTTTTTTATGTATGTTTAAGATATACGATTTGGAAAATTCTTTCTTGTCTCAAAGGCGTGGTCCAGGTGGTCCCATTTAATTTTTATCGAAATCGGTTAAGGAGTTTAAAAAAATCAACAATAAATTGTATTTATATCGGAATCGTTTATAATTTTTTTTTTAATTTACCACTTGTTTTTTAATGAAAAGTTAGCACCGATAACTAAGCAGGGGCAACATATAGCATATTGTTACGAACTTGGGGTTCGAGACAATTAAAAACTGCCGAGTGAATTACCAAAATCGACACTTTAATTACAGAACACTAATTACAACTTAAAACCACACTAATAACAAAACACAATTGTACTAATGATCACTTTAGTTCGCAGTTGTATCGCTTCGAAGTGTTCGCTTGTATCGCCAACCCAACACTGACTCCGGTCGCGGTCTATACCGGCCTTATTATATAGGGCCTCAGATAGTTCCAGAATCTTCTACTGTAGAATCTAGAATGTTCAAGTACATACCGTCCCGACTGTCTAGATGTCGATAGTTCTAGAAAGTTCTTCCATATAAATTTCTAGAAGGATCTTGACTCTCCTAGTTCTGCCACTCGATACTAGAGGGTGCTAGTGGTAACTAGTGTTGCCATTTACCAGGCATTAATGGTGGCGCTCTACAATATTTATAAGAACTGAATATTTATATTACCTGCGGTAGCGTAACCTGAATCGAATTCCTTTTTGACATCACATCACTCACGGAATGTCATTTCTTCTTCTTCAGATTTATTTTTATTTACGTTTCCCATATCTTGTATGTTTTCTGTTTACATCTAAACGTATACCACGTGAGTGTATTGATGCCATCAAAACTTATATTTATGCTCATGTCTACGTAGTAAGCGTAGCGAAGTAGTAATTATTAATATTGAATAATTAATAGAAGTATGTACATAGTCATGTTTTCATTATTTTAAGATACATACTTATATTGAATAAAACTACTTTTACGGATTTTATCGCGTTTAATTAACTTATTTTTCTTATTTTATTTTATAACTTAAATTAAAAATTTAAAAAACCCCCGATACAAAAAGAGCTGATGATTTTCAAGCGGCTAAACAGATTTTCTTGAAACATAGCTAAGAAAAGACAAGAGAAAGACATCTTTAAAAGAAAAAACACTTACTAAAAATCGGTTCATCCGTTCAGGATCTATGATGCCACAGACAGATACACAGATACACACAACAAACATAACACCCCTCTGTTTTGTCGGGGGTTAAAAAGGTCATCCGATAAGAGATGTTTCGATGTGAATCCTGTTGTGTGCTACAGAGACATAACCATACCGCAACAGCTACATAACTCGTACGCCTGTCACACAAAGGGGTAGGCAGAAACCACGGACTTTCATTTAGCACGATCCTGATACACCTCTCTTACTTCTTTCATTTCATCGTTAGTTGTTTCTCGTAAGTTAATGGTACACTAAACTTGTGCCATCTCCCATCTTCAACATAATATGTCGTGTACTATGATGTGATAAAAATGAAACTGACTGGCTGACTCATTAAGCATTCCTCTCTAATGAGGACTAATCATTTTCTGCTCACCAGATGTCGCTAGTTGACACTGAGGTAAAGTTTTTTGTTACACAAAGTCATTTAATTGAGAAGTTAGTTTTTAAGAGAAGTTTTTCAGTTTCTAAAGTATTAAATTAATACACAAAACAATGAGTCAGTCGTTTGCCCTTTACTTTTTTGCATATTTTTAACTTTTTTTTATTTTTCTACTTTTAGGAACATCTGTGGTTTGGTTTATTTTTTATTCTTATTAATTTAAAAAACAGGTAATAGTATAGAAAGAAACATTAACCTTTTACGTTTTCCGAACAAATCAACTTCCCCGCTATGCAATCCGTCAAATATTATAATATTTGACGGATAGACTTAAAAGGGAGATATACCTCACTTTCAAGTGGCTCCGCCCTGGTGACAGAAAAAGTTGTGGATGCCCTCATTGTTTGGGCACCCGAAAAGCCTCGTTTTAAAGTAAAATGAACACAGTATCATAGAATTCACTAAAATTAAGATTCTCAGTTACAAATTTGATATAAAACACTTTTTATAAGAAAGAATATACTTACATAGAATAAGACCGTAGCTATTCTATTTCCGTTGGATTTTTGGAAGGCGTTCTCCTCTTTCTGAAAAGGAATTACTTTCTGCAATTCATTAAGTTCAAATATTTAATAATAATTTTTTTTCAGAACGCAGAAGTTTAACACTAGATTATGTGGTTACCAATGGATAAAATTCGACGCCTAAACATGGTACTGTTCCATCGTCGGAAGGGCTTAACATAATCATCACGCTTGGCAGTATTTACGATTGCAGTGCCACACTTCTCGCAGCTTTGACTCCTGTGTGTCTGTGTATTTTACCACGGGACCTAACGTAGAGGTAGCGAGACGGTTAAATACTACCATCTGTCGAAAGCCATAAGACCTTCCTGGTATTTTTCATGGTTGCCTCTTACGACACCCACGGACTGAAATGTTATGATGCATTATCTTAGTTTGGCACCACAATACACGGCCGGTATCTAATAAAAAGTAATAACGCGAAATTAACCATTTTTTTTAAATACTAGTAATGTTATTAAACATTACTAATAATCCCTTGAACCACTTCTGGTAAGCGTAAAATTCTTGTGTGTTAGAAGTGGTTCACGACAGTAGTCGAATGGCGGATTCGAACCCACGACCTTTCGAGTTCGCGGCCCACGCCCTGCCATTAGGCTATTGACGCTTCAACTTTAACCATTTGTAATCAGAGGTCTATGCACATGCACTAGATGAATTGCCTGTCGTACCGTGTAATGTATTCATGCGGAATCAAAGTGCAGCTTATAGTGCCCGTTGATTATGATATGAAATGAAACGTCTGAAGTCAGTAGACTTATACACATGCACTATACGATTTGCCTGGCGTAGACAGTGTAATATAGCCGAGCGGAGTCCAAATATCGCTTGAAGTATCTACAGGTGTTTTTATATGAAATTAAAAGTTTTTAATCAACATAATTATAATATAATTATGTTGATTAAAAACTTTGTACATTACACAACAATTACATACGTACAAAAATTATGTACATGCACTGGAAAATTACCTGACGTATCGTGTAAATAACTCGTGTACGAAGTCTCTTTCTCTCTACCGTATGAAAATATTTTACAGATTCGTACTGTATTTTAAAATGTTTTTGACAACTGGCAGTAAGCACAAAGTTACGAAATTCTTTGTGTTCGGCGGCCGGATTATAGGCGAATAGCCTGTTCGCTTTGCTAAACATTATGTAAAATTGAGTGACTGCAACTAGTAGACATATGCAAATTATTATTATCAACATGACATTTCTTCAGAAGTGTACTGCTGAACAGAGGCTTCCCCAAAGAAACGTCACAAAGCACGGTCCTAAGTCACCTATAAACATCAATTTAATGCACATCTTCTCATGGGTAAATGTTTGCCACCCCAACCCACCTGCCAGGCGTGGCAACTATGGTAAACATCCTCCATGTGCATATGCACTATACGATTTGCTTGTTGTACAGTTTAAAGTACCTGTGCGAGTCAAAGTGCAGTTCGAAGTACCCGCCGATGGTTATGTGAAATTAAACATTTGCAATCAGTAAACATATGCACATACATTATAGGCGGATTCCCTATTATACTGTGTAATATGCTCATGCGGAGTCAAAGTACAGTTAGTAGTCTTCGGCAACGGTTATGTGAAATTAAACTAGTAATCAGTAAGATTGCAACCAGTAGGCATATTCATGCACTAGACGACTCGCCAGCTGCGTGCCGTACGGGGTTATGTACGTAAGAAATCAAAATACATTTCGTAGTGGTCATCGATCACTATGTGAAATTAAACGTCCGCAACCAGTTGGCGTAACTGCAACAAGTAAACATCAGCACATGCAGTAGTGGACTCGCCTGGCGTGTGCCGTACCGTGCGACGTACCCGGGCGAAGTCGAAGTGCGGCTCGTAGTGTCCGCCGATGCCGTAGTTGACGACCTGCAGCTCCTCGGCCGACAGCATGGAGAGGCCGGTGAAGTGGTGCACGCGGCGCGACACGCGCGCCACCACGGCGGCCTCGTCGTCGCGCAGCCACGCCGACTTGCTGATGCGGTAGTGCGCCGCCACCAGCTCGCCCGTCGCCGGGTCGTGCACCACCGCGCGCCGGAACTGCGACATGCCCGCACATCCAGACGATAAATCACTTTTTTGACAAAATAACTGACAGAAAAATAATTTTAATGCTAAAGGTATATAGGGACTGAGCGGAATCTAGGTTGTTCAGTTTTTGACGAAATAATCGACTGACCAAAAATAATAGCACAGCTGAGTAAAGATTTACGGAGTGAGCAGATTCACCATTGTTAAGTTTTTCCTTTCGTTTTCGTTTCGTTTAAGCCGATCACATACATACGAAATTCCGTGTCGGGATTCCGTTTCGGAATTTCAAATTGGAATTCAGAAAGCAGCAAGTCCATATAAAATCAAGGACCCATCACAGTAGTTTTCTGTTCAAATTTTTTGCAACAAAAACGGGACTCGAATGTATGTTACCGGCCTAAAGGTTTAAACACTAAACAGAAAACAACACAGGTAGATCAGTTATCGTTTAATTTATGGATGATAATAACCCCTGGAAATGAGGTGATCGCTACCAAAATAATCTAATTTGTTGTGTTGTTAATGTATAACATCATGATTGTAAGCTGTTATTTAAAAAAAAAGTCCCGCTGGGTTTCTTGCTGGTTCTTCCCAAGACAGAGGTTTTTTCCGAACCAGTGGTAATCAAACAAAAAAGTGACTTTCAATAAGTATTATTTATAATCTATATTGAATAAAAAAGTTTCTGTTTCTGTTTCTGTTATAGTCAAAGAGTGTGACAAACAACTGTCCCAAAAGCTGTCAGCGCAAAAAAACCACAGCTATCTAAATGTCATATAATTAAACTTTCATTTAATTAGCGACCCGCCCCAACTTCGCCTAGATAGAATCTATTAGTGTGACATTATTAAGATTAAGATATAGACATTTCTTTTATCAGCTTATGGGTTCTTCAAAAAAAAAAGCTTTTTGGAAGAAGAAATCACTAACAAGGAACTAACAGTAAATAATTTTAACATTTAGTTAAAGAGTAATGTTCAATATCGTGAAAAATTGCCCAATCAGCCGCGCCCACCCTACATAATTGTATGTGGGGTACATAATTTAATGAAACTAGTTTTTACGTATTTATCGCATTTTATAACTTATTTTATATTCCCGACGTATCGAGTACTTTAACTTACAGGATCATGAAGTCTTAAAATGGTATGCTTGGGTTGGGATTTAATTTTATTAATTATAAGATCCCAAATAAATGGTAGTACCCAGCCTTCTTCTCTATTGAAATCAAAATGTTTTTGATTTCAATGTTTTTTAATCACACTTGGTAGGAATCCGATAAACAATAAATCACCATCAATCCGTCTGTGTGTCAATGCGAAACAAAAAAGTTGACTAGAAACGAACGCACATGCACACAAACATACCCTTGAATTACAGTAGAATATCTGACTCAAAGGACCTCTAAGTACTTAAGAAAATCCGAGCCATTATGTAAACTTAATTTTATCAAAAGAGGAAAGAAATAAGGTATAAACATTATCGCAGAAATTTCAAAACTAAATATTATAGAGTAATTAAAGCATTGCTCACAAGGCATGAAACCGATATATCAAAACATAACTAATTACAATGGTAGTCAAAATATTATATCATATTGATATCCAAGTACATAACCGTTATCACATATCAAGCAACTAACCAAGGTACGAAACGAAAACGCAAACTGTGGAATGATCTTCCAATGGATTTCGTTGCGATGTTATCATAATTATTGATAACTTAATCACATAACGGTACACATCACCAAATATAATTACTTAAAGCAATGAGGTCGACTATAAACTGTTAAAATTGCCTAATTTATATGTTCGTGTTGTGAGAGTTGTCAAATTTGAAATGATTTTAGCCCATTAGACACAAGGCTTAAATTTGTATGACCATATTATATTTGGTTTAGGCAACTTTTGTTTGTGTTTTGGATAGAAAGTGTTGGATTAAATTTTTTTTCAAAACGCAACAATTACGCACTTGAACTTGGTGACGCTTGCCGTTCACTAATATTTATCTATAAAATTTTAATTTTTACGTTGCATTCGTGCATTTATTTGCAATATTAGTGTGCATGTTATACATTAGTTTTAATTCAGTTAATTTTGTGTACAGTGAAAAATATAGTATATTATAGTTTAAGTTGATTTTGATTCTTTTAATCATTTTTGTAAATAGACTTTCAAAATGTCGAGTAAGGCTAGTGAAATATGGTCTCGCTTGTTTGTAAATATTGTTGCACATGCGGCGGCTCCTGTGTGATAGCTATAATTCTAGTAAACAACACGGCCACCGCACACCAGCGCCCTTGCATTTGCGGTGGCGCCTATGTGGGTGTATAACAACTTGTTTTGCTTGCATAAAATAGACGGAGCGACTGCCGTTACGGTCTTGGCTCTGGCATGGCACGGTGCACTTGTTGTATTCCGCTTCTAGCTTATCTCTAACACATTGGATAATTAATTCATCTCAAATACAAAATTAGTCTCGGTACAATTTTAGTTAATTAGCTCTGTTCTTATCAATGTGATATGTGATTATTTTGACGTGGTAGAGCCATGCTGTAGTATAGTTGTAGCACGAATGGGTCGACTCGACCGGGGAAGGACCACGCTCTCACAGAATACCAGCGTAAAATAGCAGCTTAACGCTGCTGTGTTTCGTATGGTGAGTGTAGAGAACCGGAGACCCTTTTTACTGGAAATGAGGCATTCCATCTTAGTCCTCACGGGTGACAACGCATCTGCATTTTGATTTGTAATAGAAGATAGATGTAGATGTCTATGGGTCACAGTAAACACTTAACATCAGGTGGACTGTGTGCTCGTTTGTCACCCTTATCCTATAAAAAAATGTGAATTTCATAATTGTATAAAGTTATATATTGTAAATTACTTCTAGTTAAAAGAACAATCCCGCTGGGTTTTTTGCTAGTTCTTCCCAGGACGGAAGTTTTATTCGAACCAGTGGTAGAAGTATTATTTATATTGAATAAAAAGTGATTCTATTCTAGTCAAAAGCCTTTTCCTCTAAATCCACATTTCTAATACCATTCTACATATACTACTGGGAACTTAAGAAACTTTTCTGCTAGTCCAGTGATTGGACTCCAGTCTAGTTAAGCATAAAGGAAAAACTGCCAAAGTTTGCGGTTATGTTTCAGTTGTCGTTTGCGCATTCAGTAGCAAACCATTACTACTGATATCGATATCTGAAAACGGTTTTCAATATCGATATGAAAACTCAATTTCGGTCATGTAACTGTTGCAGCTAAAAACTGAAAACGGCCATGCTTATTGCTCACCCTCGGCTTGGCCATGGTCTTGATTTCCTCGATTTCTTCGTCGCTCATCACCTGGTGGAACAGGAACACATCGGGCGCGATGTACATTTGCTCCATTTTTATGGGCGCCAATTTCAGGAAGGGGTGGTTTTCCGTTAAGTAACTGCATTTTAGTCTAAACAAAATGGTATAATTTATCACTCTTATCAGCATCTTCATATTATCCTTTAGTCATTAATTCCTCATCACCGCAATTACAACTAAAATATATTAGAAAATATAGAGAAACAATTTATTTGAATTGTTACCATTACGGTAACCAAAACGTTATCAAGGTTATCAAAAGTCCACTGTTGAACCATAGGCCTCCCTTATTTATACAATTAAATAAAATTGAAGTGTATGTTTGTAATGTCAAAATTACAGCGTTTTAATAAATGCATATGAAAGTATAAAAGGCACTTAAAACAAAAATACACTTTTTAAATTTTTTGTCTGTATGTCTGTCTGTTTGTTCCGAATCTCCCAAACGACTGGACAGATTTGGATGGGACTTTCACTGGCAGACAGTTGATGTTATAAGGAGTAACTTAGGCTACTTTTATTTAAGAAAAAGAATTAGGGTTCTGCGCAAAAAAAATTAAAGACCTAAATTACACGTGGGCGAAGTCGCGAGGAACAGCTAGTAGGGGTATAAATTAGCTACGATAACATGGCCCGCCCCTCCAAAATTCAAAACGTTTGTAAGTAGGTATGTAAATACTTTCACAAACACTTTAAAACGTTTTTAATTTTGGAGGGGCGAGTCATGTTATCGTAATTAATCTGTATATTTGCTATAATTGCCACGATCGACAGTGGAGTTGGAACCGCAATTTTTTTTGTCGTTATTAGGAAGACGCTGCTGCCCATCTCCTGGTTTGTTCTTTCTGTCGCATCTTACAGCACTCTGACGATATGGGTTAATAGATATTCTTACACCGCCACTACCCTCTCAATTTGTTCAAATTTCCCTGTCCACGATATATCAATAGTTAAACAATCGAAATGTTTAATATATGATTCATGTGATAGGGTTAATATTGTAAGGAGGAATATGTGAACTATTTCCTCAAATGCCAATCTAACAGAAAAGTGTTGGTGAAAAATCCATCCAAAAATACTAAACCTTAAATTGGTAATGGTTATATCGCTTTATAGCGCCTGCGTAGCTAAGTGTGGTGATTACAGGCAACTTAACAAAAACTGACAATAATAATTATCAAAGGTATAATTTGTAACATCTATGTAAATATAAATCACAAATTGAAAAGAACTTACTTCTTACTAATTTCACTGGGTATATCCATTTCGCCTCGGCACAGTGCTTCGTAAACCTTTCGTTCCTTGCCAAGAGGTGACAATTTTGAAGGCTTTTCATCATCTTCATCATTTTCACCATCTCCAGTCTCCTTCAATAATTTCAATTGCATCTAAATATGTTTATAAACTAAAACGTTTAAATAAAACTAGTATTTAGGGATTTTATCGCATTTATCGACTTTTACTATATATTCCCGACGTTTCGAGTACTTTCCAGCACGCGTGGTCAAGAGGGGACTGAGGTGTTCGACGTCTAAATATCATAGTTAAGCACCTTCAGTTTTCGTCGACGGTCGGTCGTCGAGAATATAAAGTAATGTTGCGCGCCACTATTAATGTCTTGTACATGGCAACACTAGTTACCACTAGCGCCCTCTAGTATCGAGTAGCAGAACTAGGAGAGTCCTAGAAATTTTGTGACCGATATGTACTCGAACATTCTAGATGTTTCTACAGTAGAAGGTTTTCTAAACTATCTGAGGACCTATATAAGGCCGGTATAGACCACGACCGAGTCAATATTGAATTGGCGATACAAGCGAATACTTCGAAGCGAAATAACTGCGAAATAAAGTGATTAGTAGTACAATTGTGTTTTATTATTAGTGTGGTTTTAAATTGTAATTAGTGTTCTGTGATTAAAGTGTCAATTTTGGTAATTCAATAGGCAGTTTTTAATTGTCTCGATAATTGAATCCCAAGCTTGTAACAATTGGTGTCAGAAGTGGGATCAAATCATTTTATCGCGTTTATTAACTTACTGTTACAATAACAGTAAGTTAATAAACGCGATAAAATCGATACGTACGAAGTACATAAGATATCATTAATCTAAAACATTTTGTATTTGTTACATTTTTAATCAACAACAAATTGTATAGAGCTGTGACTACTATTTGGCAAAAACAATATGATAATATACTCGTAATATATCTCTCGTATTACTTGCCTAGCATGTCGCAAAAGGCAACTAATGGGATATTGGGTTAGTGATTGTGTAGGCCATGGGATAGGCACCAACAATTTCTTTCATATCTAAACGTAGTCCGAATAGCTTGATGCCCTTTGAACTCTGTTTACACCTTCGGGGATTACAGGTGTGAAGTTGTATATATGATTTGCATGATTAACATCGCATAACTTCGTAACTTGCTATCAACGGAAACAGTTGCGTAGGCGCTTTTGTAAATGCCATTGGAGTTATTTAGCCATTGCAGTCTATTTCGTTATCGTTATCGTCAATGGTGTGTCTTTCATAGAGTTTAGAGTAGTATAGACTGCAGAAACGGTTATGTTTTAAAAACTAGGTTTTGGACTCTTCTTTTATTGCGAAAGCAAATTTTATCACCTTCAATCAATTATTACATCAAATTAACAGTCTCGTCACATCGAGTTTGCAATAAATCGTTCAAAAGTCAGGAAGACTAGAAGAATCTACGATGAGTACATTTTTAAACGAGACGTTAAGGTAACTGACCCCTCTCCTTTTCTTTCTTAGCTTCTCCTCTTGCTCGGCGATCGACTTCTGGAAGTGCGGCACATTTCCTCGCGCTCTTGGATGCGTCGGATCCACTTCCAAGAGTTTATTCGTCCATTCCAATGCTTTTCGGACATCGCCTGGAATAAACATTCATTCGTATGATATCTATAAGTACAATTGATTATGAAAAACCAAGATGAAAGCGCATCGTCATCCATAAGGTATAGAAAAGTAATTATTGGTCAAAAATAACCCTAAACTTTTTGGTTTTAAACTCAGTACAGAGGTTCCTTGAGTCATATTCAGCTTAAGATCACAATAAGGTAGCAGTTAAAATAGAAGAACCAAAGAAGAATGTAAGTGGCTCGCTCTAATGGCAAAAATAAATATTCTAATACATCTCCAATCATAATCACAAAAGTAATTTGCAATATTGTGATGTCTTGTTTCTTTTATTCGATCAAATCTCTCCCACGATGAACTTGTATATTGAAATGAATAAAATATATTTATTTCTTAGACATATTATGTAAGAAAAACAATTGTTGTTTGTCATGTCTTTTTTCAAATCTACTACCGTTTCGAAACGAGGTTCCTCTGACAGAAGAAAACTCCGCAGGTATCCTCTTTTTGTCATTTTTATTACAGGAGAATGACAACAATTAACAAACACGAGGCTTTATGCTTAGAAAAGCTCACTACTACTACAACGTGGGCTGTGTAGTGCTGCAAACAGAACTAACTTTTGTGCAAAAACACGGTTCTTGATTGGATGTGGTTAAGTTGTGATTGTAATTCATACTGAACATAGGCCTCCCCCAAAGAATGCCACAAAGCACGGTCCTGAGCCACCTGCATCCATCGACTTCCTGCATATCTTACCAGGTCGTCACTCCATCTAGTGGGGGGACGCCCTACACTTCGCCTGCCGGTACGAGGCTGCCACTCGAGAACCTTTCTTCCCCATCGGTTGTCTGTTCTTCGAGCTATATGGCCGGCCCATTGCCACTTCAGCTTACTAATCCGTTGGGCTATGTCGGTCACTCTAGTTCCACTGCGGATATCCTCATTTCTGAGTTTATCACGCAGAGAAACTCCGAGCATAGCCCTCTCCATAGCTCGCTGAGCGACCTTGAGCTTCCTCATCCGGCCAGCAGTGAAGGACCACGTCTCAGTTCCGTATGTCATCACTGGCAACACGCACTGGGTGTACAATTTCGTTTTCAAGTTTTGAGGTATACCTGACGAGAAGATGTGCCGTAATTTCCCGAACGCTGCCCAACCGAGTTGAATCCGTCGATTGACCTCTCGGTCGAAGTTGGACTTACCTAGTCGGACTATTTGTCCCAGGTAAACATACTCGTCAACAACTTCGAGCTTAGTGTTCCCAACAACTACCGGCATAGGTGTGACATGGACATTAAACATGATCTTTGTTTTGACCATGTTCATCTTAAGACCTATCCGTTGGGAAACACTATTGAGGTCATTGAGCATAGTGCTTAGGTCCTCCAGCGATTCTGCCATAAGGACTATATCGTCGGCAAATTGAAGGTGAGTGATGTACTCGCCGTTAATGTTGTTACCGTATCCTTTCCAGTCCAGAAGCTTGAAAACCTCTTCCAATGCAGCAGTAAAGAGTTTCGGGGATATGACGTCACCCTGTCTTACAGCTCTCTGCAATTGGATAGGTTTCGTACTCTGGTTCTGTACTCGGATAGCCATCGTAGCCCTACTGTACAAGCACTTCAACACTTCGATATACCGACAGTCAACTTGGCATCGCTGAAGGGACTGCAGCACAAATTTCGACGGAATCAAAAGCTTTCTCATAGTCCACATACGCCAGACAGTGGCAAATTGTACTCCTCGGACTTCTGTACAATTTGCCGAAGGGTATGTATGTGGTCTATGGTGCTAAAGCCTTTTCGGAAACCTTCTTGTTCGGGAGGCTGGAAGTCGTCAAGTCTGCGCTCGAGACGATTCGTAATGACTCTCGAAAACAGCACGTAAACGCGGCTCAGAAGGGAAATCGGTCTGTAGTTCTTCAAGAGAGCGTTTTCGCCTTTCTTGAAGAACAAGACCACCGCACTTCTGCTTCACGCCTCCGGTGTAATGCCACCATGGAGGACGGAATTAAAGAGCTTCTGAAGGACTTCAAGTACCGGTTTTCCACCCGCTTTCAGAAGCTCCGCTGTAATTCCATCCTCGCCTGGGGCCTTACCGTTTTTAAGGTGCTGGAGAGCCATTCTAATCTCGCTCAGACTGACGTCCGGGATATTATCGGAATAATATCGGATAAGACTCGCTCTTGGATCGTTACTCACACTTGCGTGCGGCTCCAACGATGACGCGTACAGCTGCCCATAGAACCTCTCAATCTCACTCAAAATCTCAGGTGCCCCGGAAACGATGCTGCCACATTCGGTCTTCAGCTTTGACAGTTGGCTCTTTCTGGCAGACAGATCTCTGGCAAAGACTTTGGAGCCTTGGTTCCGCTCGATCGCTTCTTCAATACGAGCTGTATTGAAGTTGCGTAAGTCCCGCCGCATGCATTTGGAGATCTGTCTGTTCAGTAGCTTGTATGCTGTTAAATCTGTTGAAGAATGTAGCTTCATCTCCCGTCTAACAACCATGAGATTAAGAGTGTGATCGGAGAGTTTTTGTGTTCTTCTGCGGCGGGTCTTGCAGAACTTAGCTCCGACCGCATGGACAGTTTCCACGAGCTTGTCATTCAAATCGTCCACTTCATTGCAGTCTTCTAGGCACTGAAAACGGTTTTCTTACTCGAGCTGAAAGGTTTCGGGACTTTGGATTAGAGCACGAGGGGGACGGAGCGTTGACTTCATTAGACGAGACCTCTCCAACTTAACCTTTAGGTTCAGTGTGCCATTCGGTGATCGCTGCCGGTTTTCACCCTCGCGATCACTGAGAAATCATTGAACAGTTGTCGTCTGGTCGTCATAATGAAGTCAATCTCATTTTTTGTCGAACCGTCGGGGCTTGACCAGGTCCACTTCCTGTGGGGCCGCTTCTGGAAGAAAGAGTTCATCATTTAACAGTGGTAGAGCCATGCGGCAGCTTTTGCTGTCGTACGGATGGGCCGGCTCGAACTGGGGTGGTACCACGACCTCACAGAACACCAGCGTGAAGTAGAGGTTTACCTCTGCGTTTCGCTTGGTGAGTGCAGGTGGCCGGAGGCCCTTTTTACTGGAAATGAGGCATTCCATCTTAGTCCTCACGGGTGACAACGCATCTGCATCTTGATTCGCAAACGAGGATAGATGTAGATGTCTATGGGCCGCAGCAACCACTTACCATCAGGTGGACTGTGCGCTCGTTTGTCACCCTTATCCTATAAAAAAAAAAAAAAAAAAAAAAAAAATCATAAAGAGTCCCTCTTTCTCCATGAAGTCGGCCAGCTGCTGGCCCCTTGGGTTCCGTTGCCCTATTCCAAATTTCCTCACTTTCAGCTCACCGTTCTCTCTTGTGCCTAGTTTTGCATTGAAGTCTCCCATTAACACCGTATATTGGGTTTTGGAGGAATGCATGGCTCTAGAGATATCCTCATACATTTCCTCCACCTCCTGATCGGGGTGTGCCGAGGTTGGTGCGTAAACCTGTATGACCTTCAGCGAATACCGTTTGGTGATTCTGAGTATAAGGTACGCAACCCTCGTCGATACACTCTCAATCTTTACAACGTTGTTAACGAGAGACTTGTGGGCGATAAATCCGACACCTCCTTGGGACAGATGGTCGCCCTCCCGGTAATAGAGCAAGTTGCCGGATTCGAGGATTACCGTGTCCTCCCCCTCTCTTCAGACTTCGGATAAACCTATAATATGCCAACGTAACTTGTCTATCTCTTCTTCCAACTCCACAATCTTTTCGTCAGTCCTCAGGGTGCGTGCGTTGTATGTTCATTATATTATATATTGTTACGCGCCACTATTAATGTCTTGTACATGGCAACACTAGTTACACTAGCGCCCTCTAGTGTCGAGTAAAAGAAAGTATTGCGCGCCACTATTAATGTCTTGTACATGGCAACACTAGTTACACTAGCGCCCTCTAGTGTCGAGTAGCAGAACTAGGAGAGTCGAGATTCTTCCAGAAATTTCGGGACCGATATGTACTCGAACATTCTAGATGTCGCTACAGTGGAAGGTTCTGGAAACTGTCTGAGGCCTATATAAGGCCGGTATGGACCACGACCAGGGCAGTATTGAATTGGCGATACAAGAGAATACTTCGAAGCGAAATAACGGCGAACTGTGTTTTATTATTAGTGTGATTTTAGATTGTAATTAGTGTTGTGTAATTAAAGTGTCAATTTTGGTAATTCAATCGGCAGTTTTTAATTGTCTCGAACCCCAAGTGCGTAACAATTGGTGTCAGAAGTGGGATCAAATATGCCGATTTTACCTAAAGACGACACGGAGGGTATCCGTACCCGAAGTCAACGCCAACAGGAGACGGACCAGAGACGATTTGGTAATGCAACGCCGCAAACGTCGGAGGGGCAGCTGCTAACCACGGAGGCCGGCCCGTCAGCAGCTCCTGCATCTGCAGCACCTGACTTAGGTGCTCTGATGATGATGCTGCAGGATCAGGCTCGCCGACAGGAGGAACAGGCTCGCCGACAGGAGGAACAGGCTCGCCGACAGGAGGAACAGACCCGTCGGTTGGAAGAGCAGCTGCAGCGAGGTATGGAAGAACAGATGCTCCTCAGGAAGGACCTTCACGCTACCTTCGGGAAAGAGATAAAGGAGGTGAAGGATAGGGTTGCTCAACATGACAACCGCCTGTCGGAAGCTGAAACCCGAATCGACCAAGTGAACAATCGGGTTGACAACGTGATGGCTGATGTGAAGAAAACGCTGGACGACCTCAAACTTGGGGATGGAATTACAGTTCCCGTAGTAGCTACAACACCTTCGCTACGTGGATTCAAAGTGCCGCCGTTCGATGGGAGTTCTTCCTGGTCGGCCTACAAAATCCAGTTCGAGGCTGTCATGAAAGCGAACGGCTGGAATAAAATTCAGGCCATGACTGCTCTCACCCTAGGCCTACGCGACCAGGCTTTAACTGTTCTGGAAGCTCTCGGTAAGGAAGTGACTTACGAGCAGCTCCT